ATTAATACTAACAAATCCGTTCAAAATATATGCATATATACATCCATACATAAATATGTGACCTTGCATATATAGTTTTTTGTAAAAAAATTAAACGTCAAAAACGCAAGTTAAATTTATCATTTAATATTTTTATGTTTTATTCTAACTGTTTTTTTACAAGGTAAATTGCTCAAAAACCTTCGTCCTAAATTTTTATGGTCTTGAAATGTCAAAGAAACTCAAACACGTAGTTTTAAACAAAAAAAACTTGTCTTGTCTTATTTTAATTCACTAGAAATATTATTCGCAATGTTAATCCTGAATCATATGTTTTTGTATGCAAGTGTGAGAATGTATACAGATATTGAAAAAATGATTAATAAAAATGAATTAAATAATTCTTTTACAATAAAACCTATGTATTAATTAAAATACATACGTACAAAAGTAATATTAGTATGTAAACGGGGAAATCCAAAGTTGGTTTCCTGCAATTAGTTTCTCTTTTGTAGTCAGGCGTGGCTATCGATCGCAGGGTAAGGCTAAAACTATATAAATATAATTTTTTTTATATTTATACACTTTGCATTTATAAACATTTAATTTTGGCTGTGCTAATAACAAATTGGTTCGTAATATATAAAGGAAACTTGATAAATTAATGAAAACTTTAAATAGGTCGATCGTATATGATACTTTATTTTATTTAACAGAAGTGCAATTTATCCAAAAATTAAAATAAAAATAAATAAATAAATTTATTTGAAAGAATCATCGGATTTTCATGGTCGTCTGGTGTTGTCGCGACGCATCGCGAGTCGATTCGTTCGCATTGACGTCATTATTGACCGTAGAAATTATGCTGAGTTACCTGCACGTTAATTGATCTCATACCATGCGATTATCTAATGATATTCGTGTAAATCTCAGATAAATTCATTGGATATTTTTAATTTACCATTCGCTAAAATTTTATTTGCTTTTTTTCGCAAATAAATGCTAATATTTTATATTTATAAATTTAATAACTATTGTGTGATAACGTTAATTACTTAACATGAAATTAAATTATGAAATTCTTTGTCTTTATAAAAAAAATAGTCCAATACAATTGTCAAGTATATTTATCTCAGATAACAAAATAAAAAATTGTTGGCTGTTGATCATTAAAATTCGCTTATTCTCGCTGACTATTTGCTGATGGTGTATGATTAATTATTAAACTTTTCTCACGCTAGTGAACTAATTTTTTTGCCGTAAACTTATACAAATAGAAATGTAAATGTTTTGAAGAATTCTATTAAAAATTTACATTTTTTTGAATGAAAAATAGGAAATTAATCATCACTCCTGTCAAATATTTGAAGAATAAATAAATAGTATGGATCCCATTGAAGAATAGAATAAAAGTCTCAACTGATATTATGAATATTGCTAGTGTTAAAAATATTTACTAATGTGATGATGTAAAATAAATATTGTATAAAATGACGTGGATTAAGTGTAACAAATTGAGTTTATATCAATTAATGAAATTTATAGAAATATTTGTTTTTACGCTGTTGTTCTAGAATTATATAAATTTTGTACTTATCAGAAAATCATTTTAATTCGTGTCCTTGATACAATATTGTTTATCAAGACCGTAGTATAAAGGACTTTACACTAATAAAAAAATTAATTTGATTAATGAATAGAAATCTTGAACCAAGAAAATAATTTTAAAGAATTTAAATGTTTTGAATTGATTCAAATAATTGTTAAAATAAGACATTGTTTTTAGCTTAAGTACATTTTATTTGAATTATTCATCTTGTTTCAATGTGATCTAAGTCTTAAAAATGAAGTTATTGGTTCAAGATTTTTTAGCTTTAATCAAGTTAACTGTTTTATTAGTTTTAGTTTAATTTATTTACAATTATGCCAAAACCAAGGCCAAATGGCAATAGAATATCCATAAAATTTTATAATTATTGTGCAATTTTAAATCTACATTTGTATGTAACAAAAGAAAAAAGAAAAAAAAAGAAATAAACTAAAAAAAAAGTTTAGGAAAGATATTTAAAGTATTTTTAAGGTAGATAATATTATTAATACAAAGATAAAAAAAAATAATGAGAATATAATATTGAATTAGTCTAAATATTTTGTATCGCTTCATCTTTTTCTTTTAATGTAAACTACAAATGCAAGACATATTTATTTAGTATAAATAAAATTTTATAATTAACACTTAAAAAGATAAATAGTGTATTTAATTTATAAAGTGACTATTTACTCTAACAATTATTAACAAATGATTTTTGTTAACCTTTGTTCGGTATAATGTAATATTATTGTTTAAAGTTTATTATTATAAAAAAATTATCAACTCCTGTGAAGAAACTAAGGCTGTAACTTTTCATAAAAAATCATTTTAAAAAAAAAAAAAACTCGGTGAAATTATGTGTTGGACAAATTGCAAAAATTTTAAATGGTTGTAATGGAAAAACAGCTAATGATTGTTTTTCATGTTGGCAAATTGGAATTCAAAAGAAAGAAAACTAAAATGAAGAAGATGAAACAAAAATTAAGCAAACGAACAAGATGATAAATAAAAACAATAACGAATTGTCAGTACAAAGAAGAAATCAGTCACGTAATTCAAAGGAATATCCGGCACAAAACTCGGTCGATTATAATATCACATAGTCGTCGGTTGGGGTCGATAAGTTCACCATTACTTCAAGTTTCTCAAAGTATCTTTCAGTAACAATAACAATTAATTTATGTATTCATATATTTTTTCTTTAGTATATTTTAAATTAATTATTGATATACTCTTCATCGATAAAATTTTGATTGAAGATTTATGGGATTAAAAATTAAAAAATCCTCCTATAAATATATAATGTATTACGCGCTAAATGTACTTACCTGCGCTCGTACTGGGAATATAGCCCAGCAATTATTTTCTTTCTAGGTTAAAATGGTGTAGACATTAAAATAGAAGGAATATTCCGTTTGTAAATAATCTTTTTAACTTTACTTGAGTGTAATTTTCTTGTGTTATCGATGAATTAATTAATACCAAAGGAGAAAAGGCGAGTCTACTGTTAACATACATCTATTATTTGCTGATAAAACTACTCAATAATACGGTTTATTGTTATTTTATTTATAAATATAGATACTGCCTTCAATATAAAATTAATTCCACAGTACTATAATATAATAATTATCGATATTACAAAAAATATATAAATTTTAATTAATTGTAACATTGACGTAATTTAACAATCAAGTTAAAGTATGTGTAATATCACATGATGATTCGGTGATTACGAGATCAATTTTAATCCTTACGACAATATATGTTAAAATATAATTGATAAAATTAACAATTATATAAACATAAATTTACCTTTATATAATAGAATTAATATTGTGGATAAAATAAATGTGTTAAAAATATTTATCCAGTTTATGGATTTAAAAGCAATAACAGTAATTCATGTTACTGTTTGAGTTTGAGCTACTATGTGATTACGGCAAAAATAATCCCTAGGAATAAATAAATAGATTAGATATTGTTAAAAGATTACTCACATTAATCGTTTATGTCACGTTCCCTTACACTGTCTCCACGTTTGTTTTTTATTATCAGAAACAATTTTTATCATTTATTATCATAAAAACTATCTTTCTACTCATATTTTAATTTTTAATTATCTTTCTTTAAATTAAGTAATCATTAGTTTCTTTTTGACAAAAGTAAAAAAAAGTCCTAACGCCTGACATTAAAATGACAATAAAAAGTGATAATATATATTGTTATTAATTTAATAAAATAATATATACAGTAATTAAAAATGTAAATAATATAATAATTAATATAAAGTTCATTGTACTTTTATCGCCGATAAAATGATAGCAAAATAATAAGAAAAATCTCATTTGTATCATACAATAAGGTGTTTAATTTGAATTTATTATATTATGTCTGTCGAGTTGTATGTTAATAAAAGAAAATTATCGTTTTCAATTCATCTGCAGGCAAGTTGTATCAATATCTGAGAGCAGAAGCCAAGGTAATTAAACGACAAGCATAGGAGCTGCTATACACATTACATATGTATACATAGATATATTTATATTTATATATATATTTATATTGAAGAAAAAAAGTGAAGAAGGACAAAGAGTTTAACACGATGTGAGATATTAAATTGAATACAATACAATAAAACAAGTAATAAAGACACAAGTAAAGAAAAGACAAGAAGTATTAAGTATATATACATATATGTATAATAATAAATATACCAAGTACTTTTCATAAGTATTGAAAGAACGAGGAGCGGCAAGTACGATGTGAGCAGACGTCGATTATCATCAAAAGAGTGGGGAATTATTTACTCGCTATTCTCTGTACTCGACTGACTTCTTCATGAATTTAACCACACTAGTTACACCAGTATGCTTCACAACTTGCTTTTGTGATCATCTGATCAACTATACCTTCGATACTAGATATATATATATATATATTTTTTTTTTTGCTATCATCTTCATCGCCGGGTGATTTCTTTAACGTGGCACTAAATTGACCATATAAAAAATAAAAAAACTAAAAAATAAAATCTGTTGATAAATATTAGTCACCTTGAGTTTAAGGACATATAGGATGGACTTACTGTTGTGATGGCGAAAATACGAGGCTCTCATGTTTTTTTTGTAAAAGATAGTGCTCAGTGGACCTTTTTGAAACGCCGGAGAACTCGTCTGCGATCTTGAAACGACTATTTATATTAAGAATTAAATTAAATAATTTTACTATTGTTGCAGTAAAAAATTTTTTATTTTTTAGTTTTTCTCTATTATTTATTTTATATTTTGTAAAGATATTGTTATTATTTTTTTAATAATTATTTGAGCAAAGACTGAGTGTGTGATTGAATAAATATACAGAGACGTGAATAAAGTAAATATTTTTATTTATAAAAAAGAGTGCGCGTAATAAGTGAGTAATTATTTGAATGGCACCGGATTTTGAGAAGAAAAGACAACCTGCTAAGGTTACTGGATATTTTGGACACTGTAGTTATAATAATAATAAACAAGGCATGATTTTGTTAAAATGTCCTGGGAATCCATTTACGGATTACTACCATCACGGTAAATAAATTAATATTAATTTATTAATCTATTATATTAATTAAGTTAATAGAAAATAATATTAATAAGTTGATAACACTTCTAATAATAATAATAATACTTTGTCATTTGTTGCAATTAAATGTAATTATTGGGTGGACGTAATTACTTTAGTTAATATAATAGTTATTTTATCAACACATTAATTTTGTTTTTTGTTGTTTATTCTTACTGTCGAGTCATTCAGTATTCATATTCAATTCTTCAATGATTTTAATTGATATAATATCGTAATTTACTATCCAGAATTTTCGATAAAATTTATTTTCCACGGAATCCATTGCCGCGCTATCCTTCAAGCTGCTGGTATATTTTATACCGTTGATAAAAAATTAAAAAAAAAACTTTTAATATGCTATTATACATAAATAATTTATTGTTAAGGTGGAAAAGATAATAATTGTTGAATCGCTTATGAATTTAATTAAAAAAAAAAAAAAAAAAAAACTTGAATTGACATTGTTTCTATCATTTTGTATTTCTCTGTAATAAGGTCAACATTTAGAAAATTCATCGACTACCCGAAAGAGAAATATGACAGATAATTTCCAACTATACACATGTGGTTAGTGCGTTTCATTTATATTATTTATATCGCGACTTAATAATAGTAAATATTAATAGAGCTGAGCAAGAATTTTTATCGATTGAAAATTCTATTTAACGGTTTAATATATAAACATAAAAACACAAAAAAAATTTTTTTAACTTTTAATTCTCAGTTTGAGTGAACGTAATTATTGTTTCGTATGATCTGAATTAATAGAAAGTCGCGGATCTTTGGAACGTAATCGAAAGAACTGAGTTCGAATCCCAGTTTCAGTTAACTAGATTATTTATTCGCAAACATACATCAAAGATTGATTTTTTCTCTTCATTTTTTTTTTTCAAAATATTCTGTGATTTTTAAATTATGCTACAAATTTTTCTTCAAAATATTTTATATAATTTTGAAAAACCTAAAAAAAAAAATGAGATCTTTGAATTATAACATATTTCTGATGAAGAAGAGTAGTAAAGCTTGTATTCGGTTGTCAATTGAAGATTAAATTCAATTTAATATTAATTTGCTGATAATTTTACGTAAATACTACACATTTTATAATTAAAAAATATCTTCAGATAATACTGTTTTATTTACTGATTAATTGTATTGAAAATAAACTGATAAGTCTCGCTAGACTTATGCAAGCTTATTAAAATTCAAAAGAATTTTTAATACAAGTTATCCGATAAAGTTTATTGTTTACTTACAAAAAATCTTGAATAATAAAAAAATACTATAGTTGTAAATTTATTTTAACTATTTTTTTCTTTTTGTAGTTTTTATTCATAAGTATACAATCTTACTCAAAATAAAAAATTTATTTAAAAATGTTATTTTACAATAATAGTACTAGTTATAATAACTATTTTGTTATTCGTTTAATAATTGCATTAGCCGTAGTCAGTATCGTTACAAGTGATTATCTAAGTATGTTATTATATTATTATTTTTTAATCGGTCATATAAGTTTTTAATTATTCATAATTTACTATTTTTTAATCGAAAAATGAGATATTCGTATCAAAATTATTTGCAAATAAATATAAATTAATCAGAATATATTTTATAGAAAAAAAAATAACTTAAGTTGGAACAAACATCAGAACTTTTTTTATTTTTTTATAAAAAACTTTTCAAATTGATTGGCGAATTTTCTCTAAAGGTTATGGGCACTTGACAGAAAAATCAGAAGGGGTCACCTGATAAAGCAGCTGGTTAGAATAGAATGCTCTAGCTATCCATATCAGACATGTTATACAATGTTGTCATCACAATTTAAAACTGACTCACAAGAGCCATTCAAAGAAACTGAACTATTAATATATTTACACGTAACTGTGTAGTATTGATTATAAAACAATAGAATGGTTAGCTAAAATAAATTGATTTTTTATCTTAAAAAGGTATTATTCAAAGAAAAAAAATAAAAAAAAAATAACACTTTTTGTTATAGAAAGTGTTATATTAGTTAAATAATAAATTATTATAATTATAAATATATTGACAGAGAAATTAATTAGAAATTTTAATCTCAATCACTTTATTAAGGAAAAAAACGGGTTTTCATTTATTTTTAAAAAATATAGTATTTAAATTTAAAAAAGGAAATTTTTAATGAAAATGAAGTTAGCCGACATTTCAAAATTTTTAGAAATTTTTTATCGAAAAAATTTCAATTAAACAATTAAAAAAAAAATATCACCTGTTAAAAACTTGAAAAACTATAAGTGCAATTTTTTATAAATATCTTTTTAGTTGTAATTTAATTAATAAAAAAAAATTAAAAATTTTTATATGTCTGCTAACTTCGATGTCATAATTTTTATTAAATAAATTTTTCTATTATAGTGTGTATAAAATATAAACTTTCTTTAATTGATTTCATCAGATTGTATTGAAATTAAAAATTACAAATTATAAAATTTTAAAACAATCTTTGAATAATAATAATGAAAAAAAAAATATAATTATCGAAATTCATTAATAAATTCAGAGAAGCGTATAAATTAATTTTTTTAAAACTTCAGTTTTATTCTAGCAGTCTAATTGTTGTTTTAAAAATTATTAAGTTATTTTAATGATTACTACGTTTTTTTAAATAAATAATTTGACTTTATTTTCTAATTGAATATCGATCATGATCTGGTTCACTGGTGTAATATATAAATAAGGCGTGGGGAATCGAAACATCAGTAGCAACATTTCACGATTGCACCGAAAATATTCGTCGTTAAATAGCTGGTATAGTCGCATCAATGCGTAATAATTATCAGTGAAAATTATTAATAATAATAATAATAGAATAAAAACTAAAATAGATAATTAATCAGTTTTATGGCATGAACTGTTTGAATAAAAACTTAAATTATTGAATGTCAATAAATCGATTGATAAAAACCAATGAACATTGTGTACACAAGTGAATAGTCTGATTATCAACTAACGTGTAAAAATTTAATTAAAGTATATTTTAACATAAAATTATTTTTTTGATAATATTAAAACTCAAGATAATGATAATAATGTAATTTACCCTTGAAATAATTCAAACATAGCATCTGTTATGTATTATTTGTCTTATTACTGTATCTACAATACAGTAATAATGATGTTTATTGATCGCGATATCAAAGAGTCACTTGAACCAAGTGTTATTATTCTATAATAATAACTATCAGTATTATTATTCTATTAATACTATTTTCTGTCTTTATTAATATCAGTACGAATAAAAAAATAACTCAACTATCCCGCTGGGAAATGATATCACCATCACCCTAAATATATCAACGATCGGGGTAAGATTTTATTGTCAACGGATAAAATAATTTACTTGATACAAAAATTCCGATATTGCGCAGTTAAAAAATTAAAAAATATTAATAAATAGCAATAACAATAATAAATAATAAAATAAAATATATATTAGATTATTTGAATTGGCAAAGTTCAAAATGTTTATTTATTTAACAAAGATGAGAGAGAAAATGATTCAGGTCATTGACACAAGTCAGTGATTTTCCTCACTTGATTTCACTTACTTACACATATGTATACATCAAAATATTTGTATTTATTTATATTCAAATTAGAATAAATAAAAAGGGGATAAAGTTAACGTGACAACCCTCAACCCCCTGCGTTGCCTGCAATTGCAACTTTGTCCTTATACATTATTCAGCCTCCTATCCCACTTGCCGCTATTATTTTTTACCAGCATGAGCATGAGGGCTTCTATACATAGAACAATATTTATTTTATTATTTTTTTTCCTTTTAATTTATTCATTTATTGCGTCAAGATCCTTCAAGTTCTTTATGGAATTTTTTTTATTGCAACAATAATAATTAATTGTTTAAAATAATTTATATTTAAATTCAATGATACGGAATGTTATTCTATATAATTAATAATTCAACTCAATATAATCTTTATTTTTTACTTTTATATTTAAAACATAAAAACTTGGATTGAAAATAAAAATTTAATTTTTTAAATAATAGCAAATGTATACAGTAAATAAAACTACTCTATAAACATATAAATAAAAAAAAAAAAATTTTGTATAAATGCTGAGAATTTAGATTTTTCAGTCGGCTGAACTTTGATCATTCAAGTCAGTTAAACATTATCATGGACTTATTTGTCATTCTTCTTTATGTCTGTGTACCTTCCACAACAATGCTCAGGTACACCCGTTACCAAACACTGATATATATATATATTTAATAAAAATATTTAATTTAACATCACGTAGTAGTTAGACTATAAAAATTTAAAAATAGAAAATAATTACTTCTGAAATAAATAAGTCTGAGTATAGACTGGGTAGTAACAGTAAAAAGCTACTTAATTAAAAAAAAAAAAAAAAAAAAATAAAACCATTAATCATTAATCAATAATTATTAATAAAAAAAATAATTATAACATATTATTTTCTTGACAGGCAATACTGTTAGCGAAAGCGGTACCTCTACGGTGACGTCGTTGAGCACGAGAAGCTTAGCGAGCAATACTTTGCGTCAGTCATCAAGACGTTTTAATCAACCATCAGCGCAACAGCAACTGCCTCAGACACAACAGCAGCAGCAACAACCGCAGAGAAGATCACCAGCTCGGATTCCTCTAGCATCACTGAGCAGTGTCACGGTCAGAAATTCAGATGAACTCGTGGCAGCAAACTTAACGACACAGGAAGTTTGCGACAGTTCGAACGACTCTGGCCTCGGCTTCGAGGAGAGACAGCAGCATCTCGGCAACTCCTCGGTAATCCCTGTCTATCAATTATTATTTATCTCACTTGTCAACCCATAGAGATAATTATAATTTATCAACAGAGAATACAGCATTATTTATTTAACTTTACAGTTAGGAGTCAGAGATTCGTTTTATATTGTCGCATTCGTTCCTGTACTGCTGTTGCCATTTTATTTCTAATTTAACAATTATTGTTGTTGTTATTATTATTATTGTGATTATGATTACTAATAATAATAATTATTATTAATATAATAAACATTGAGTTAATCAGAAATGATAGACAAAAAAAGTCTAAAAAAAAAGAATAAAAGTTCAAAGGAGATATGAAAGGTTGAACTCCGCTGTCCATTGTTCAGTATTTTTTTTTTTACTTAGCTCAATAATTGTTTGATTTATTAAATTGCTCTACAATTACTCTCGACTCAATTCTTTAAATTTTCAATACAGACTTGGAACAACGGTGCTGCTGGGGAGGAAGATAGCAAACGACGTAAAATGGACATCAAGCTTGAATCAGAAGATGCCAATTTTACTTTCCCAGAAGTATCAAGAAACACTACTGGTGTTGCCGGTGCTGCTCCTCGTGTCACTGTTTCTGATGATAGTAAAATTTCAACAAGAAATACCACAACTTCAACGACGTCTAGCAGCACGGCTAATGGAGTTACACAGTCAAGGAACGCCAATAATTCTGTTAATCGAGTTGTTGGTGTAACACGACCACGTTCAACACTGGGTGGCTATGGTAAACGTCTGCCACCTGTTCATCAAGGACCAATTACTCTTACGTCTCAACTCAGTGAGTAATTATTATTGTTTTATTTTTATGAAATTAAAAAATACTAGCAACCTTGCTTGCAGTCACTATGTGACTTCCGTGACTTGTGAACTATAAATACATAAAATTTTGCTTTATTGAATAATAACTTTTGTTAAATTGCACTGTACTTTTTTAACTATTGATGTTTTTAAATATATAAGCTTATCCCGATGTTATACTCATCAAGAGCTTTCATTTGAGTACCCACATGCATTTTTATATATTTTTCATATATACATTTATTTAATATATAAAATATATGAAAAATTGATGTGGGTACTCAAATGAAAGTTCTCGATGAGTGTAACATCGGGATGAGTTTATATCTTTAAAAATGTCAATAGTTCACAAGTTACAAGGTAATTTCCTAATTACACGGAAAAAAGTAAACTGTAATATTCATTCGGATTCCGGTTAATTTTTATAGTTTCAAACAGTAAAGCGGACATCGGGGTGGCAAAAATATAAATATTACAGAACTTAATGTAGAAAGCATAAAAGCTACAATTTATAATTTAACTAGAATTTAATTTTCGCGCGCAAGCGCGCGCCTCATATTTATTGTCATGATATATTTATGTGTCGTTTATGTATATTATATTAACTTTCAACCAATCAGAATGAGAATATTTATTTTCAACCAATCACATCACGAATAGATTGGTTTCACATACATTTCATCTCAATTTAATTATGGGAACTAGAATTCAAATTTGCGCGCGCAAGCGCGCGCCTTGACTATAGAGTTTGCATATATTTTCATGCATATGATATATTCGACCAATCACATCACGACTAGATTGGTTTCACATAAATTTCATCTCAATTTTATTATGGGACTAGAATTCAAATTTACGCGCGCAAGCGCGCGTCTGACTATAGACTTTGCATATATTTTCATGCTTATTATAAATCGACTGTTATTTATTACAGTTTACTTTTTTCCGTGTATGTATCTAGAAATAGAGTATTTTCAAATGTAGCCTAATTACTTATCATCATTAATTGATTATTGGAGAGAATGATATGAAACCATGAAAAGGCACAACTCCAAGTCAAGACTTTTCGAACGATACCAAATTTAACCATAAAAACCCATTTTATCATATAAATACACTGGCCACAAAATTTTGCATATTCTCTTAATACTATAGATTAATTTGTGTTAAAATTATACAGGCAATATATCGAGAGATGGGAAGGTCCAGTTACAAATAATCTGTCAGCCGGAGCAACAACACCGTGCTCGATACCAGACAGAAGGATCACGCGGTGCCGTAAAGGATCGGACCGGGAATGGATTTCCAATAGTCCGTTTGGTTGGGTATGACAAACCAGCGCTTTTGCAAGTTTTTATCGGAACGGATCTCGGGCGTGTAGCGCCACATATGTTTTATCAAGCATGCCGGGTGAGCGGAAAAAATTCCACACCCTGTATCGAGCGTAAGGTTGACGGGACAATTGTCATTGAGGTCGATATGGACCCGTCCAAAGACATGCTTGTTACTTGTGATTGCGTTGGTATATTAAAGGAACGTAACGTCGATGTTGAGCATCGATTTCCTCAAGCTGCGGGTATGCTTCAAGGGCGAAGCAAAAAAAAGTCTACAAGGTGTCGAATGGTATTCCGTACAAGTATCACTTTGCCAGATGGAACAACTGAAACTCTACAAGTTTGTTCGCAACCAATCGTTTGCAGTAAGTTAAATCAGCATTTTAAATTTCGCAAGCTTTTAATTAATGATATATTTATTTTTATTTTTATTTTCAGCTCAACCACCGGGTATACCGGAAATATGTAAAAAATCTTTGACATCTTGTCCATGTACAGGTGGACTTGAACTTTTTATTCTAGGTAAGAATCTGTTGAAAGACACACGAATACTCTTTCAGCTTGACGACGAAGATCTCAGTAATATGGAGCAACATTGGGAGTGCTCTGTTATTCCAGACAAGGAATTCCTTCAGCAAACACACCTCGTGTGTGTTGTACCGCCTTATGCTAGACAAGATCTCAGGCCTACGGAAACTGTAACTGTTAAACTTTATGCCGTTTCCTCGGGTAAAACCAGTGAACCACATACCTTTTTATATACCGCGGCTTCATCTCCACCAGAGCCTTCTGTTGGTAAAGTTGAATCGTCCTCACCGCCGCTCGTTACGTCACGAAACGAACCATTGTCTACGTCACCGACGATACCTATTGGGGCTGTCAATAATAACTGTAATTTTAATTTCTTTATAACTAATTTTTTTTTGTCTCGAATGAAAAAATGACAGTTTTTGAAGTTTTAAGAGCCCTCTCCAAAGAACAGCTCAAAATAAAATTTTTAAGAGGTCAAAAATCAAAATTTTTTTTTTTTTTCAATTTTTTTTCTCGTTACGTCATAATTTTATAGACAAAAAAAATAAGTTCCTGAACGTTTCAATTCAAAATTTTAATTTTGAAAGGTCGCTCATAATTTTTTTTTACATTTCAGAACCAAAAAATGCTAATCCAAATAAATAGTCACTAATACATTAAAAAAAATTATGAGCGACCTTTCAAAATTCACATTTTGAACTGAAACTTTCAGGAAAACGTTTTTTTTTTTTTCGGTCTATAAAATTATGACGTAACGAGAAAAAAATTAAAAAAAAAAAAAAAAATTCGATTTTTGAAGATTTTTGAAATTTAAAAAAATTTGGAGCGACCTCTTAAAAATTTTTTTTTAATCTGTCCTCTGGAGAGAGCTCTTAAAACATCAAAAATTAACATTTTTTTGCGCTACTCTAATGTAAGCAATAAATACTAAATTAAAATATTTATTGTAATTTACAGCACTAATATCGCAATCAAGTGCAGTATCACCGAATTTCCTGACAAATCTCCCTCAGTCTACATCTCAACAACATTCACCTCAACCACCGTCAGATTCACTGAAAAATGACCCAAGTCCGCCCCCAGTGTCATCATCCGCACAAGTAACACCAGTGATGATGTGGGCGACTCAACAAACCGGAAATTGTCAGAATTCATCGGCAGATGTTATGATGCCGCCACCAAATCTTGTGGCGAGTTCTCTTTTAAATCGACGTTCCTCCTCAAATCATCAGCTCATTATTCCGGATTCTCTTAAGTCTGAAGTAATTGATGAAAATAGTGGAAATAGTATGTTAAGTGATAATAGTCTTCAAAGTATGCCAACACCAAATTCAAACAGTACAGCAAGTACTAGCCCAATACATCAATATGTGTCGGAAAATTCACGAGATTCAACATCAACCGGACTACTTAGATCAGTTCCATCACATGTAACTCCTTCTCAAGAAACTGTAAGTCTTCTAGGGGTTGTCGATTTGATGCGTAATCAACATCCACTGACACTTATAACCCAACATCAGAGTCCATATACTGGTATTCATGAACAATCAGGAGTCAAAGTCCTCAATACCCATCATATTAGTAAAGACACAAGTCCAATATTACAAAATGAAAGTACAGGCAGTGGTACTCTATCAGGTGTAGGAGTTGGTGTTGATTTACGAATGAAGCATCATGAATACGAAACTCTAAGTAATTTCACAACTACTCCAGCAGCTCAGCCTTTGCCAAATCAAAGCAGTCAGTCAATTGAGAAATATTTCAATCACATTGAATCAACAGCTCCTACGGTAAAAGAATCTGACCAAGAAGATTCTAATTTTGTGGATACAATGCAGCAACATTCCGTTCTGGTTGGTCCTCGTCCTCAAGATCAGTCTTCGCCTACAGATATTCTAGCGCCAAACGCAGCAACTGTTAAATTAGACGCTCTCGTTAATTCAGCCGTTGAGTCTCATCAAATGGATCGTATGGTAGCGCCTCTGCAGACAGTAACGACAAGTCCAGGATTACTAAGTCATGTGCCTGAAGTAGATGCAATGAGTACTTCTCAAACGACAACACGAACTAGTCCACCGATTCCAGTAAAAGCTATGCTTCTTGAAGCACTGATGCCTTCTCCGGTGGTTCCAGCTACTGGTGCGACCAATGGATCCAACGGTACAGTTATCTCAGCGCCTCTACCCGAAGAATCTTTAATGACAACTATAAATGCCGCTCTACTTCCATCTATCCAAGAACCCATTGTAACTGACTCAGGAATCTCAAACTCAACAGTTAATGTTTCTGTTCATAATCAACTTCAAGGCGCCAGTGAGCCTATTCCCCAAATTCAAGGACTCACTCAGCAGGATGTCGAGATGCAGCAGCAAGTTCAGCAAGTTGAACAAGTGGTAGCTCATGCTCAACAGCAAGTAGAGCAAGTTGTCGCCCAAGTGCAACAGCAAGCTGCACAGACTGTTCAACAAGCGCAGCAGCAAGTAGTCCAGCAAGTAGTTCAGCATGCTCAGGTGGTCCAACAAGCGGTCCAGCAGGTAGAAGCTGTACGTCAAGTCCAAGCGGTTCCGGAAGTTCAACAAGCGGTACAACAAGCGACCCAGGAAGTCGTACAACAAGCAGTACAGCAAGCCACTCACGAAGTTGTTCAGCAAGTTCAGGCCGTCCAACAAGCTGTTCAGCAGGCCCAAGCTGCGCAGGCGATGCAGCAAGCTGTTCAACAGGACATCGGGTCAATGCTTAATCAACCAGCAGGGTTTGTCGCTGAAGCTAGCTCTGCTTTGGCGAGCGGAGCCGCCCAAGAACCGAGCCAACAGAGACTTACAAATGCCGCTGAGCAAGCCATCACAAATGTTATTACAAATGCAACCCAAGATATTATAAACAATCGGCCTATTTCTACTACGACAGCTCACGCGATTATTGCTACTAAAAATATCCTCAACAGTGTTGCAACTCAGAGCGCTCAGCTTATGAATACTGCGATGGAAGGTATACTTCCCAAGTCACCGTCCAATGCTGGAACAGTTGCTGAACAAGTCTCACGTAAATCATCGCCAAATTCACTTCCTGTTGCGCAAAATCGTTCTAATAACACTAATGGGATGTCCAATGCTGTCAACAACTCAAATGGCCAAGTGTCTGTTGTCAGAAAAGCCGAAGATGCGGGTGGCATGCTTCCGCAAGAATTAACTTCTATGTCAGAGCACGATCTCCTCAGCTATATAAATCCAAGCTGCTTTGATCAGGGAGCTTTTCTTATGTAGTGATTTTTTTTTAAATCATAAATAAAGCTTTGATTTTTTTTTTTTTTTTTTCCAATATAGATATATATATATATATATATATATAAATGCTAAATAATTTTATTATCATTGAATTTAGATTCTAACAATTTAAAGTTGTTTGTGTAACTATGTTATTTCTCGTTTATTCGAATAGAATGAATTTTGGTTCGATAACGAGAAAATTATATTAAAATTATTGTTGATGATTGTAAATAAGCCCGTTTAATATATATATATATATATATATATATATATATATATATATATATATATATATATATGTATTAACAACTACTAAAATTAAGTAAGACGGGCGCATGCGAGAGCGCGACAAAGTAGTTTGTTTTTTTTTTTAATATTGAAATTAGTTTAAAATTTTTACTTCTTTTGTGCGAGTTATTGATAATGTTAATTTATATTCTTCAGTGCCAGCGCATCCAGGTGCCTTTTACACCGAATAGTATATATTTTTAATATCTATTTGGCTTCCTTTTTATTTTGGAGATATTTGATCGACTATTTGATATTAATGATTATATTATCGGTATCATTATACACTTAAGATAAAATTTAACGATATTACGTGATTCTTAAATATTTATATTCATCAAAATTTATAAATAATCACGAAAACTTTATTTTATTATAAAGCCGATATGGAATTGAGTGTAGCTAATTATTACACTACGTACCTTAATTAATTATTCATCACTTGGTTAAATTATTTTTTATTAAGAATTTATTGACTTGATTTCATAACGATGAATCATATTTAACAAAAATATTTATAAAATTATATTAAATTCATTATTGATTAATTAAGAAGCGTTTTATCATATATTTTGTTTATTATTATTATTTTTAATTTTAATTTAATAAGTTTATTGTTGAATAATTCTGATAATTATTGAATGTGATTTTTGTTTGTTGACATTTATTTTTTAACGCCTAGAAAAAGCTAAAATAAATAAAAACAGTGAGAGATTATTGTCTTCATAAAAAACAATTAGTAGATAATGATAAATATATAAAACGAAAATTAAAATAAAAGAAAAAAAAACATACATATATTCATAATGTATATTTTTAACATTTACCCAAAGAGAGAAGCACTTTCAGAATTGTAATGAGCTTAGTGAGAATATAATAATCAAACATAAATTTATACAAAAGAAAAACATATATTTATATTGATAATTGAATTTTACAAACGTAAGAGAAATTTTAAATTTGTTTATAAAAAGAAAAAAGTATACAAGTGAACTATTGATATTGTTATTTGAATAGAAAAATTTTCATTAATCAAAAAATAATGAAATATAAGTAGACAAAAATTAAAGCATTATTTGTTAACTATCAGATTTTATATTTACTGTCTATCGATTTATCTTTATAAAAAATAAAAAAAAAAATATGTATAAAATTTTTTATCTGTTATGCAAATTATAAAACTTTAGATCACGCTAATCTGTAATAATTTTTAAACAATCCATTTTAGAAAGTAAATGAACTGTTAGTGGTATACTAGTATGTATATATATACATTAATATATTTTGTTTTGTGTAATTCGTGATATATTTACAATTAAATAGATGACAAATAAAAATAAAATCGGAGTAAAAATTATTATAAAAATAACATCATTTATAATAGTTGTGCCACATTATTTTACATATATTTTGTTATATAAAATAAGTCATATCTTGCGCATAGAAATAAAATATAGAAAATTATTCTGATAACTATAAATCAAAAAGCATGTATCATCATCGCAACTTGTATTAAATTAAAAAAAAATTCACAACAACTGTTTTAATTTTGTTAACTTCTTGAAGAAATTAAAAAAATCATTTAGTATTTTATACCCGAGTCCAAATAATCAGATTAACAATTAACTACAAATTTATTTATTAAAAAAAAAATTATCTTCAATTAGAAAAATAGTTAAATTTTTTCTGTAAAGGTTGATCTTGGAAAAATCATTGTTACTTTGTTACTTATAATTTATTTTCAATCGCCACTAGCTGCCATTTGTCATTTTTCAACCTAACTTTGTTTTCTTTTAATAACTTCTGTAGATGGTGAGCAACATTAACTCCTGCAGCAGGCCATAAATTTTTTGGTGTATCCTAAAGAAGAAAATTATTTTTAAAAAATTAAATTGACCAAGAGAAAAAATTTTTTTACTTACAGAACGAAACATGTTAATTTATATAAGAATGATAAAGTCAAAAACTTATGGATTTTCTTACAATTAATTACCTTGTATAAATTGGCAACAATATCCATATTTGATAACCATCGGTCCCTATTATGATTCAAAAATTCAATAATTTGCAACTCGCGCTTATTACGATGTTCAATGTAATATTTAATTTTTGGTATCGGATTATCTACAACAGGTCCGTGTCCTGGATAGATAATTTTAGGATTTAAATTTAAAATTTTGTTCAATGATTTAATGTAGTCACTCAGGTCTTCAAAAACAGCGGTAGTTTCCCCAAGAATACAATCTCCGCTGAACAGAGAATTGTTTTGCTGAAGAACTAGACAAGCATGATCAGTAGTGTGTCCTGGAGTGTGTTTCACTTGCAATTTAGCCCCGTCAACTTCTAGCAGTTGATCATCAGCCAGCGCTTGACAACCATCACAATGGTAATCAGGTTCATCAGCAATATCTTCTAAGCTTCTTGGGAGTTTCCAAACAGTTGGAAATGAATTTGATATTGATTTTACCAACTCCTTGACAGCTTTTACTCCACCAATATGGTCATGATGCCAGTGAGTTATCACTAGATGCTCTACTGTGGCTTTTTCTTCTTCTAAAACGTTTTTTAAGAGCTTGGTGTATTCTGGAGCTGTTTCTTCATCGCCAGAATCAATTAAAATACGTCTAAATATTTATTTATTAATAAAAATATTTATCAACATATAACCTATTTATTTGATAATTTAATAAATTTTCATAGAATTGATTTTTATTTTTATTATTTTTAAATTACCTTTGTCCAGTACCAAGTAAGTATGTGTTGGTACCTTGAAGAGTCATCACCCCAGGATTACATCCTAAAATCCTTATGACGTGACTTGGAAATTTAGATACAAGTGATAATGCAGTCAGAGACATGTTTTCAGACTGAATATAACACACACGTGATAATATTATTTATTGCATATTAGTAATATGACCTTGTATTCATGACCTCATATATATATATATAAGGAGCTTTTAATAAAATGTCCTTTAGTAATATTTTTTTAATAATTATTGCTCATAAAATTGTTTAAGAGAGAATTGGATTATTTGTAATGATTTAAAATTTTTATCAACTAATAATTTTTATTTGCATTAAAAATTAAATGACAGAAATGACGTTTAATCCAAAAAAATTAAATTAATAAAATATTAAGTAGAGCAGAAGCTATTTAAAAAAATAATTAAATTTTATTTAAATATTACAACACCAGTTCAACTATTAATAATAATAATAATTAATTTAACATTAAAATTTGTCTAATTCTTGGATAAAAATTGAAGTATTATTTGTTATTTTTATAAATTTACATATACACAATAGTAGATAAATTTTTTATTCGTTTTATATTAAGTGTGTAATGGAAAATCTAATTTTGTAATATATAATTTAGTAAAAATATCTGTAAAAAAAAAAAAAGTAATAATAAATAACATGAGCGTTTGTATTTTTGTTAATAATAAATATATTAATTGATAAAATAATAATGAAAATTTATAAAATAATGTATGTGATGATCTTGTTTTTTAATTTAAGAGTGTTAAAGGACAAAAACCGGAAGCCACTTGATAATCAGCCTTGATTAATAACATTATTTTAAAAATAAATTTATTATTTAGTTTTTGTCGTCGATCGAGATCTTAAGTTTTTCTTCGTTTCTTGGTCTACTTCTGGTAGCTCATCATCTTCAGAAACTGGTTTTTTACCTGTGAAAAAAATTTTTTTGTCACTTATACCGTTTTAATTTTATTTAACATTTATTTCATAAATATCTTGGTTCATAAATTTATAATATACCTTCTTTTTTCTTCAGTTTTTGTGGTTTTGGTTTGGACTTGGACTGTACAGCAGGTGTCTTAGTATCGGAATCTCTCTGCCTCTGGCGCTTCAAAAATTCGAATATCAGATAGAATTGGAACAAAGCTACGAGAGCAAAAGCTGTGAATCGAATTGCTGGAATATTAAAATGACCAGTTGTGTAATCTAATGATGAATCAATTTTGCTCAATCCATAAACGTAGAAGAGACCGGCAGCAGCCACTGTAGCTATTCTAGTTAACACGTACACGTAATTGGCAAGAGTAAAGGTAACTAAAAAAAATAACCAAATAAATATTAATTAATTCTAAATTAATAGCATTGCTCATTAATATACTTACAACGTGTTCTAGATTCTTTACGGTAAACTATGTGGACCCAACGTGCTGTGTGTTGAAGTGCGTCTCCAACGTAATGAAGAACGAGTAAAAGAAGAGTAATGTGTTGGAAGCTGAAAATAATATTGTATTTAGTCCGCTCAAATATATGGAGACTATATAAATACGATTAAATAAATAAGGTAATTATTTACAAGTGGGATCAATTCATGCTGGGGTTAAATTTTTTTTTTTTTTAACTTCCCGCTAAGAAAAATTGAAAATTTTTTTTTTATCAAATTCAACTTAAAAAAAATTTTTTTTTAATTGTTCGTTTTTTTTAAGTACTTTTCAAAAAAAAATATATCAAAAAAGATAAAATAGAAATTTTATCCAAAAACATAAAAGCCAAAATTTTTTCCAACTTTTAAAAGCAAAAAAGCTATCGAAATCATTATTTTTTCTTTTCACATTTTTTTATCATAATTGCGCCGTAAAAATAAACAGAATCAAAAAAAATAATTTGAAAATGTTAATTTTTTACCTAATTATGATCCAAAATAAGGTTGACCCCACTTGTAATTAATTTCCATAAATAATTAAAATACATACTTGAAAATATAACCAGCAAACGTGAAGAATAAACCAAAAGTAGCGTGGATAACTCGAGATAAAATTTCTTCACGTTTAATACGTTGGAAATATAATTCAGGATAACAATGGAGCCAGTATGCTAATTGCACAATGAAGAAGAGTTTCATTAAAAATGACATTGGCAATGGATATGATTGCGAAAGTGATGGGAAGCCCAGTATCAAGTTGTCTCTCATGATGATATCGATACCCCAGAGTGCAGATAACACATAGAATACCAATAATTGACTTGATTCGTTGAACTTAGATAATTTTATTTTACTAAGATGTAATTTCTTTGAAATTTTCTGTAAATAATTATTAAATTTTTAAATTATCATACAGAATTAGAATTATCAAAATATTTATTTTAATTCTATAAATATTTTTCAAAAAATATTTATTAATTTATCTCAATATAATTAAGGAAACATGCTTTATTATTTTTATTATCTCTAGAGGAAATCTGTGGTCTATTCTTTTTTTGTTAGAAACATGACATTTTTATGCAACTTTACTCCAACAATTGCTGAGTACGAACACTTGATTAAATAATTGTTTTTCCTGTTTACAAGATGTTAGATAGAGCATAATACTTACATCTAAAATATATTCTTGAACAACAGCATGCATAACAATTGTAATAAGGAAATAAAAGAAGACAGCACAAGCATCTTTCCAGCCAGTTGTAAATTTAACTGGCTGCCAAGGAGCATCTACTTCTGCGGTTGTTGAAATATTGTGTTGGAGTGCAATAAATATGTAAGCCCATGGTGATGTTATCTGTAAAAAAATATAAAATATAAATAATTATTTATAATTATTGATTATTTAATTATAATTAATATTGTCCAGTTTATTTCTTAATTTGATTTGGGTAAATCTAGTTCATTCACTGTAACATATGGTAAAAGATAAGATATGTTCGTGGGTGAAAGGTGGAGAGAATTTGAATAATTTTATAGCGACTGAAATATTTGGGGTGAGTGAAAGGTTTATAATGCCAAAAAAATGTGTAAAAAGTAAGTAGAGCATAAAAGTTACCTGAATCATAAGACCAATAACGAAGACCATAGCCACACATGAAACGATGTCAGCATGATTTTGAATGATAAATTCATGACTTAAAATTGGGGGATTTTTATTCGAACTTTTACGTCCTTTTAAGGTTACCATTTTTTTTTATGTTAAATAATTAATAATAGGAATAAAAAATTTTGCGTAACAGCCGGCACAATAAATCAGGATAATTTATAAAGTTTGTAAAATAAACTGCTGTCACGCATAGACTTAAACGTGGAACTGAACTGAACTGAATAACTGACACATAATTATTTATTCGTGTACAGTATATTTGTGTGGGTAACTGTGTATATACATCTGTATTGTCTGTATTGGAAGGAGTAGTTACACGTGGCGCCAACAAGATAACAACATGTGGTAGTGAAGCAAATTTTCACCAGGTTGGCAGTATTTTACCGGAATGTCGCATTCAAATATTGAAACCATAAAGTGTCACGTGGAGATTGCTGCGAAATCAAATTTTTACACCTGCAAGAAATAGATGAAGAAATAAAAAAAATAGAAATTTAATAAATAGGCTAGCTGGTCCTTATGGTCACTTGACTGGCAAAAAATTTTCCGAGTCCGTAGGCAGAAAATAAAAATAGCAAAATTTTTACTAAAACTTATTTGCTAAAAAATTTAAAAACTAGAAATTGGAGTTTCAATCATTTTTTTTTTTAATCCTTAAACGACCATTTTTTAGTGAAATACAGTCGGAAAAAGCTCATGAAAATTACTGACATTTAAAAATTTTTTTTATTAAAAAAATTATTGCAAAAAAATAAAAAAATAAATTTAATTTAAAAAAAAACTTGAAAAACTAAAAGTGCAATTTTTAAAAATATTTTTAGTTATAATTCAATAGATGAAAAAAATAATAAATTTCGGCTAACTTGAGTATTATAAAAGATCACCAAAAAAATTCAGTGATTTTTTTTACCCTTTAATTTTTTCCATTAGTGTATTAATAAATTCATAAAATCAATTTTCAGATTAAAGAAGAAGATAATGCAATTCCTTAATGCAACCAGTAAACACCTAGTATCAATCTTGACAAGAGCAGACCAATTATTATGAGGATAAAATAAATTCGTATATAATTTCAGAACATTTATTTTCGGTAATGAGCATGTTGTTTTTTTCTTAACATGCTTACACGTAAATAACTAATCCTTTATCTCATTAGATAGTAATATTATATATTTTATTTGACACCATTAGTACAACATTTAACATAACTCTATCGACACAAATCCAGCAATTTCATTGTTTGTTTTTTTTTTTTTTTTTT